TACTGAATCTTCCACCCATGTGCCCATTTTAATGATATATGTATGCTCTTGTGCATTCTTCCATAGTTAAAAATTGAGGTGTCAGGCCTGGACTGTAAGATGTCATGAAATTTGAGATTCTACAAATGTTCAGAATAAGAGGGTAACTAGAGAGAGGGTAGGGACACTTAAAGATTAAGGAAGTTGTCTTTGTGTTAAACCCCAGGGGGTGGGAAAGATAATGAATATTTCGCGTCAGCTTTTACTGTGTGGAGAAAGAAATGGAGACAAGAGAACACAGAGAAATTTTGATGTTTTAAAAACAGTTCGCATTACAGAAGAGGATGTTCAGGAGGTCTTGGGGAATATAAAAGGTGGATAAATCTCCGGGACCTGATCTAGTGTATCAGAATGTTGTGGGAAGTAAAGAAAGAAATTGTGAGACCCCTTGCAGACATATTTGCATTATCTATAACTACAGTTGAGTTGCCTGATGACTGGAGAGTGGCTAATGTTGTACCTTTGTTTAAGAAGCGTTGTAAGGAGAAACCAGGGAACTATAGACTTGTGAGTAAATTGTTGGAGGTGATTATGAAAGATAGGATTTATGAACATTTGGAGAGGCAAAAATTGATAAGAATAGTCAGACGGTTTTATGCGAGGGAAACGCTGTCTCTCAAATTTGATTAAGTATTTTGAGGAAGCTACCAAAAAAAAATTGATGAGGGCCGAGCAGCAGAAGTTGTTTATTTGGACTTTAGTAAAGTTTTTGATAAGGGTCCACATTGTAGACTAATTGGTAAAGTTAGGTCACGTGGAATTCAGGGTTAATTTGCCAATTGGATACATATTTGACTTCATCGAAGGAGACAGTGGTGGTGGAGGGTTGCTTTTCAGGGTGGAGGCCTGTCAGCAGTGGTGTTCCACAGGGATCGGTTCTGGGTCCTCTTTTATTTGTCATTCATAAAAGTGATTTGGATGAGAATATAGAAGGCATGGTTAGTAAGTTTGTGGATGACACCAAAATTGGCATAGTAGACAGTGAAGCTAACAAAGGGATCTTGATCAAATGAGTCAATGGGCTGAAAATGGCTGATGGAGCTCAATCTGGATAATTGCATTTTGCTACAACAAACAAGGGTAGGGCTTATACAATTGATGGTAGGGCTTTGAGTAGTGTTGTAGAGGGACCTAGGGATTCGGGTACATAATTCTTTGAAGTTTGCATCACATGTGCAAAGGGACAAGGCAGATAGTGCAGGATTCTCTGACGATTCCCCTCAATAACAGGTATACTGCATTTGATACTGTTGGAGGGGGATGACCTTTCAGGGGCTAGCAGTTAGCAATGTGACTGGCTCTGAGGCTCAGAGGGAAAGGGTGCAGTCAGACAGTGTTGAACTGATAGGAGACTCCGTTGTGAGGGGGACAGACAGGAGATTCTGTGGCCGCAGAAGAGACACCAGGATGGTTGTTGTCTCCCAGGTACCAGGGTCAAGGATGTCTGTGAGCGGTTGCAGAACATTCTGAAGGGAGAGGGTGAACAGCCAGAGGTCATTGTCTACCTATGTCATTTGTACCGATGTGCACAAAGGGATGGGTCCTGCGAAATGAGTGTATAGGGAGTTAGGTAAAGAGTTAAAAAGCAGGACCTTAAGGGTAGTGATCTCCAGATTACTCACTGGCACATGGCACTGGGAGGATAGAAATAGAAAGATAGGCCAGATGAATGTATGGCTGAGGAGCTGGTGTTAGGGGGCAGGGTTTTCAGTTCTTGGATCATTGGGATCTCCTCTAGGATAGAGGTGACCTGTCCAAGAGGGATGGGTTGCACCTGAACCAGAGGAGGTCCAATATCCTCGCAGGGAGATTTGCTAGTGTTACCCAGGAGAGTTTAAATTAGTTTGGCAGGGAGGTGGGATCTCTGAATAAGAGAGGGGCCTTCAAGAAGTCAGGGGAAAATACATTAGCTGTCAAGAGCAAGTTTACTATTCAGGATAGCCAGGGACACAGTAAAGGGAGGGAAAAGACTTCTGGTTTAAAGTGCATTTATTTCATTACACGAGGCCTGACTGGTAAGGCACATGAGCTCAGAGCATGGATTGGCTCTGAGGACTGAGATGTTATAGCCATAACAGAAACATGGCTGAGAGAAAGGCAGGACTGGCAGTTTAATGTTCCAGGATACAGAAGCTACTGATGTGACAGAAGTACAAGTAAGCAGGGAGCGGGAGTTGCCCTTTTGATAAGGGAGGACATCATAACATTGTTCAGAGAGGATATTCTTAAGGGACCATCAAATGAGGCCAATATGGTTAGAATTTAGAAACAAGAAGGAGATGGTCACTCGTTTGGACTGTATTATAGACCCTCAAATAGCCAGCGGGTACTAGAGGAGCAGATGTGTAGAGAGATTGCAGATACCTGTAGGAATAATAGAGTAGCATTGTTTGGAGATTTTAACTTCCCCAGTATTGACTGGGCCACCCAGAGTGTAAAAGGCCTAGATGGGATGGAATTTGACAAATGTGTCCAAGAAAGTTTCCTAAATCAGTACCTAAAGGGCCCTACTCGGTAACGTGCAACACTGGACCTCCTCTTAAGAAACAAAGTCGGGCAAGTGACTGAAGTGTCGGTCGGACAGCACTTTGGGTCCAGTGACTATAACTCTCTTAGTTTTAACATAGTTATGGAAAAAGATAGGGCAGGTCCACAGCATGCTGGCCTTCATCGGTCACGGCATTGAGTATAGGAATTGGGACGTTATGTTGCAGTTGTAGAAATCATTGGTGAAGCCGCACTTGGCATATTGTGTATAGTTTTAGTCACCCTGTTATAGGAAAGACACAGTTAAACTGGAAAGTGCACAAAGAAGATTTATGAGGATGTTGCCAGGACTAGTAGGCCTGAGTTATAGGGAGAGGTTGGCCAGGATAGGACTTTATTCCTTGGAATGTAGGAGAATGAGGGGTGACCTTAATGTGGTGTATAAAATCATGAGGGGCATAGATAGGATGAATGCATATAATCATTTTCCCAGGGATGGAGAATTGAAAACTAGAGGGCATGGTTTAAGGTGAGAGTGGATAGATTTAAGAATGACCTGAGGAGCAACTTCTTCATGCAGAGAGTGGTGTGTGTATAGAATGGGCTGCCAGAGAAAGTGGTCGAAGCAGGTACGATAGCAACATTTTAAAAAAAAAAAAAAAAATTTGAATAGGTACATTAGTGGGAAGGGTTTGGAGGGGTATGGACCAAATACGGGCAGTTGGAACTAGCTGAGTGGGCACCATGCTCAGCATGGACCAGTTTGAGCCAAAGGGCCTGTTTCCATGCTGTATTACTCTTATGACTCCATGTAGCCAGAGTGGTTAAAAAGGTGTTTGCTATGCTTGCCTTCATTGCTTAGCTCTTTGATTATAAGAGTTGGGAAATCACGTTGAGGTCGTACAGGACATTGGTGAGGCCTCTTCTAGAATACTGTGTTCAGTCCTGGTCGACCATTTATAGGAAGGATATTATTAAACTTGAGGTTCAGAAGAGATTTACCAGGATGTTGCCAGGCATGAAAGGTTTGAGTTATAAAGAAAGGCTGGGACTTTTTTCACTGGAGCGTGGGAGGTTGAGAGGTGACCTTATAGAAGGTTATAAAATAACGAGGGGTACAGATGGAGTTAATGGTAGTTGCCCTTTCCTTAAGATGGGGCATTTCAAGACTAGGGGGCACATTTTTAAGATGAGAGAGATTTAAAAAAGACATGAGGGGCAAATTTTTTACAGGGTGGTTTGTGTGTGAGGAAGTGGTGGATGTGGGTACAATTACAATGTTTAAAAGACGTTTGGATAAGTACATGAATAGGAAAGGTTTGGAGGGATATGGGCCAGGAGCAGGCAGGTGGGACTAGTCTAGTTTGGGATTATATTTGGCATGGACTAGTTGGACCAAAGGACCTGTTTCCATACTGTATGACTGTACGACACTATGAATGAGTTAAACTGCAGAGTTAGGCTTTGAAATTCTAAAGGTGCCAGTGGGACAATATGATAACCTGTATCACTAAAATAAGATGTCAGTATAACACTGTTTCATCTTGCAGAATTAGCCTTGCTTTGTCAATAGAAAATTTTGGATTTGAATTTTCATTATTTTCCTACTGCCAAATTGGAAAATTCAAGGCGTCACAGGTAGCAACTCGCAGCTGCTAATTTATTTTCACGTTTTTTAATTTTACATCTGTAAGGATATATACTCACCACAACATTTGTTAAAATGTGGTGAAATGAGTTCTTATCTATTTACATTGTGTGCTTTACACTTTTGGAGTGGTATTTAATGAAATTGAAAGGGATATCGCTGAAGACTTAACTAGACAGCAGTAGGCCTTTGCCTTGGGATCAAGAACCGGGCACTTGCGTGGCTTTGTACAGGACTTTCTCTTCCACTCGACACACTTCACACAACAGACCCAGCAGCCAAGATCCTGTAAATAGCCCCAAATGGGCATGGTTGTCATGCTCTCTTGATGGGGAGCCCCCTTCCCACTGTTGTGTTGATAGTTAAATTGCCTACTTAAGGGTTTCAACTGGCTGCAGTGCGGGAAGGCCAATATGACTGGTAGGTGTGACAAAAATGGTCCTGTTCCCTTATAAATATATTTGTGCTGCAGTAGTGAGTGGCAAATATGCTAATTTTTCATCTTGGTGTGTGTGAGATTATCCATTTTGGTATGCAGGTTTTATCTTCCCGATTCAGAATTATGTCCCCTCAAGTGGAACTAACTAAGAAGTGGAGCCTGCTTTGATGAAGGGTCATTGAAAACATTAACTCTATTTTCTGTCTACAGATGTTGCCAGACCCGCTGTGTTTCTCCAGCACTCTGTTTCAGATTTCCAGCTTCCAGAATTCTTTGTTTATTTTAACATCACTTTAGCTGCCTGTTAGTACAGCATGCCTAATTTTCCCTCTTCATGAAATGCTATACTCATGACTTGATTATAAACTGAACTGTCTTTGTTTTTAGAACGGGAAAAGGAACGACACAAAAAGAAAAGTCGAAGCATTTCCAGAAGTAGAAGCAGGGATAAAAAGCGGAGAAGTCGAAGCAGGGACAAACGCAGCAGAAGTCGAGGTGGGCGAAGCAGAAGCAGAGATAAACGAAGCACATCACGAGAGCGGAAGCGTCACAGGTAACTTGCTGTTTGTCCGTGCTCATACCTGATGCATAGCATAACTTCCAATGTGCAAAGCTGCAACTTTGCTGTGTTGAGAGAAGCTTAGCAAAAATAGGATGACTTGCAGGAAGATTTGAGTGTTGTTAAGAGAGCAGCATGGAGATAGAGAGGAAGTGAGTCTCTTTCTGGCAGTGGACAATCCAGATCAAAATGTAAGGGTTCATTTAGCTTACAGTTTGTGGGGGTGGGGTGGGGGAGCGGTGCAGGATCCTTGCAACTTTCAGTTTTATCGTTTTGAATTAAAATGCTTTTTAAAAAAAAAAATTTCACTTTAGAATGCTGAAGATTGATTCATTTGACCTAATTACTTCTGCCAGAAGCAATACTTGGTCACTGCCATCTGTTTTCTTCTACTGTTTACAGCTGTGCTTGTCCATTTCTTTGGTGTACAGCTTCACCCAGCACACTAGTGAAATAACTCCACACAGGCCAGTATCCCATCCCCAAGTCACCCTTTACTTACATGTGCATTGTACTTGACATTGATCCAGCACCCTCAGAGCCAGCTCTAGGTGAACAGGACCTCTGACACTCCTGTTTATATCTGTCAGCTCCATCCATCTCAGACTTTTGTGGTTTTGTTGATGCTAGAAGCGGGGGAAACCCACTGTGCCAGCCTTTCCAGCTGTCCTGAGGGGCCAGGTATATTTTGCTCCTGCCCCATTTGAGAGTTTGCATCTTTCATGTTTTTGTTGTGCTTGTTCAGGACCACCTCGCCGATCGGGACCTGACTTTGCGTCTACCATGCCTCTTAGTCTCACAGGGCCATTTCAGTGGTTTCAGCACCAAACTTAGTCCTCTGGAGTAAACAATCTCTCTTACTTAGAGGAGTCTTGTGTCTGGCACTGGCGTTCCTGATGCCGTCCGTGCACTTCCCACCACCACTATGAGAGAGTGGGCATAGTCGATGTGTAACTGAGTCCGGGATTTACTTGATCATTCCTATGAATGTGGGGGATCTGCTGGTGGTAATTTTTGTCCTTGTCCCTGGGCACTACCCCACCAACACGGCTATGTCTGCATCTAATCCTGGCCACCCAACATGACTCCTTGCCAGCATTTTCATTTTGAACACCACTGGAAGACTCTGGTGGAGTTCAGTCACTATCTGGTAGTGACCTTCACTCAGGGTAATCACACTTGCTCCCCATAATGAAATGTTATCCTGTATGGTGATCTGGTCTCGCTGGGAACAGAAACATTTCAGTTCTGGTTGTGACAGCCCTTTTGATTTCCCCCATCGCCACCAGCTGTTTTATTTTTGCCATGACTGGATCTTTTTGCGTCCATAGTGGTGACTGGAGGGGTGTTCAGTAAGTTTAAAACCAGAACAGACTTTTCCTTTGGCAGCACAAATAGTGGTGTCAGCCAGAGGGAAGCGGCTCAAGGCATCCACGTTTGCTGCTTGGCCTCCTGGACGTTGTTCCAACTTGTAAGTGCACATACTCCCACTGTTGACTCTGACCTAAAGCATTGGGCCGCCAAGCCTTGTCCTCTTTAAGTAGCCCTAGCAGGGGTTTGTGGTCTGTTAATAGGACAAGTTTATGTACATAAAGGTATTGGTGGAACCTTCTCACACCAAAGATGACTGCCAAACCTTCCTTCTGTATCTGGGCACACTGCATCAGCTGAAGTCCAGGAAGTATACACTATTGGGCCGCCTGTGAACTAACACCTACCTGATACTGTACAGGGAGGCAACACATGTCAGCACCAGATCTCACTTGGGATCATAGAGCGCCAACACCTTAGTTGATGATAACTGCGTCTTCACTTGCCCAAAGACTAAATCTTGGCTGCGAGACCATTTCCAAGGCTGACCCTTTTTCAACAGCAGGTGTAAGTGTGCCAGGATGGAAACCAGGTTCTGTATGAACTTTCCATAATAATTCACCAATCCAAGGAAAGACCCAAGCTCCGATACAGACATGGGTGCCGGGCCACCTTTGCTTGCCCTCACTTTTCCCTTCCAAAGGGTGTAAACCAGTCTTGTCAACTCTAGGCCAAGTAGGTCACTTGGGGTGCCTGGAACGCATTTTTCCCTTTGAAGGATTACGCCTGCCTGGGAGAAATATCCAAGCACTATGTCCAAGTTCTCTAGGTGCTCCTTATTGGTCTTCCCAGTTATTAGCACATCATAAAGGTTGGTGCTGGATCAGCTTCTTTTTGTCATTTATGTAAATTATTTGGATGTGAGTATAGGAGGAATAGTTAGTAAGTTTGGAGATAACACCAAAATTGGTGGTGTGGTGGACAGTGAAGGTAGCTACCTCAGAACAACAGAGCCTTGATCTGATGGGCCAAGGAGTGGCAGATGGAGTTTAATTTAGATAAATGTTTTGTGTTGCATTTTGGTGAGGTAAATCAGACCAGGACTTATTCACATAACGGTAGCGTCCTGGGAAGTGTTGTTGACAAAGAAACCTTGGAGTGGAGGTTTATAGTTCCTTGAAAGTAGAGTCACAGGTAGACAGGGTAGAGAAGAAGGTGTTTGGTACACTTGCCTTTATTGGTCAGTTCATTGAATATAACAATTGGGATGTCGTGTTGCAGCTGTACGGGACATTGATTACACCACTTTTGGAATACTGCATTCAATTCTGGTCTCCCTGCTATAGGAAAGATGTTGCTAAACTTGATAGGGTGCAGAAATGATTCACAAGGATATTGCCAGGGTTGGAGGGTTTGAGCAATAGGCAGAGGCTGAATAGGCTGGCGCTATTTTCCCTGGAGCATTGGAGGCTGAGGGGTGACCTTAGAGATTTATAAATTAATGAGGGGCACGGATAGGGTGAATAGCCAAGGTCTTATTCCCCAGGGGAGTCCAAAACTGGACGGCATAGGTGTAAGGTGAGAGGGGAAAGATCTAAAAGGGACCTAATGGGCAACCTTTTCATGCTGAAGGTGGAATGAGTATGGAATGAGCTGCCAGAGGAAGTGGTGGAGGCTGGTACAATTACACTTAAAAGTACACTTAAAAGGCATCTGGATGGGTACATGAATAAGAGAATTTAGAGGATTATGGGCCTGGGAGAAACATCAAAGGGCTATATCCAAGTTCTATAATGCTCTTTATTGGTCTTCCCTGTTATTAGCACATCAGACAGATAAATGGGGACCTGGGAGAGACCTTGTAAAATGTTCTCCATTGTCCGGTAAAATATGCGCCGGCTGATGATACCCCAAATGGCAGTCTTGTGTATTGGTACAAACCCCTATGGGGTTGTAGGATATTACTGTGAATCCTCATCTAACCGGAATTGCAGGTACACATGGCTCATGTCCAGCTTAGTGAAGGACCCGTCACCTTTCAGTATAGCTTTGAGTTTAAGTCCTCTATGCGAGGGACTAGTATTTGTTCAGCTACAAGAAATGGTTTACTGTTTGTTTAAAATTCCCACATGGTAAACTAACCTGTCAGCCTTCACAGTTGGCACAACCAGCACTGCCCGTTCTGCAAATTGTACTGGTTTGATGTTTCCTTCGTTTTCCAGCCTCCTGATTTTACATGCGAGGTAAATGGCACTGGGCAGACCTTGTAGAATCATGGAATTGCTTCTTGGTCATCATGCAAGGTGGCCTTGGCTCCTTTGAAAGTCCCTAGACCTTCCTGAAAATGTCCATGTGTTTAATTAGGCCTTCACTCAGGCAGCCATTTTCTAATTGAAAAATGTTGAGCCAATTAAGGTGAATCTTTCTCCACCAATTTTGCCCCATCAGGCTTGGGCCTGAGCCTTTTACTACAACCAGTGGTAACTGAACCAGCTGCTTCTCATAAGAGACTGGAACCGAAGTTGTACCCTTAATCTGTAAAGGCTCCTCATTATGGGTTCTCAGTCTAGCCAGGGTGTTATGCAAAGCTATTTATGTTAGACTTGTTCTGCAGTCACTGATACAGCCACCCCAGTATCAACTTCCATTAGAACCGGGTGACCATTTAACCAGGTGTTTATTTTGATTGCTTCTGATTTGGATGTTGCTAAGCTATTTAACTATTCCAAGGTATGCACTTTCCTGGATACTGGCCTGAATTCTCTTACTCAGGCCTACTGAGACTCTTTTGCTGTCTCAAGTCTGCATACCGGCAGGATCTGCAATGGCTTCCCAGCCCAGAACCTGAAGAAAATGTTAACTATTTGGCTGAGGCTTGGCTTTGTTTTGGGGTTTTGCTGTGAGCTGACCTAAAGTCCCTCTGCTCAGGGTATCACCTGAGTGAGACTGTGCAATTGCCTTCACTCAAGTGGTATCCCCAAGCTCAATTGCCCAGGTGAGGGTGTCCACTTCCATCTGCATACCCTGTAACTCGTAAGCTCCATTTGCCACGTCTTCTCATGAGTTGTAGTGCCTGTTTGATGTCAAGTTGGGCTTTGGTTAATAGGTGCTAATGCATAGTTATATCCTTAATCCCACATATCAAATGATCTCTCAGCATCTCAGTAAGGGTAAACTAAAGTCACATGCCTCTGCCAGTCATCTTAACCTCATCAAAATGGACTCCCCTGGTTCTCAAATTGCTCAGTAAAACCGATAGCATCTCAGAATTAGAGGAGACTTGGAGTCATGATATTTCTTAACTAAATCCAATAACTCTTGAAAGGTTTGAGTATCTGATGCCTTAGGAAACGTTAGGCTCCTATTAACCACAAAAGCTACAGGTCCACAAGCTGTTAGTAAAATTACTCATTGCTTTTCATCTGCCCCGATATCACTTGCTCAGAAAAATAATGCATTCTTCCCACATATTAGGCCTAGTCTTCAGCAGGATCGAACAAGTCCAGCTTCTCAAATAGCAGGATGATGCCAGAAATGTGTCTCATTAACTTGATTGAGTTATTTGAAGAAGTGACGAAGAGGATTCATGAGGGCAGAGTGGTGGACATGAGCTATATGGACCTCAGTAAGACATTCAACAAGGTTCCTTGTGGTAGACTGATTAGCAAGGTTGAATCACTGAA